ATGACATCCTAGTTTTGGATGACCTCACCGAGGGGCAAGGACGTCACGACCGTCACCTGATGTGACTCGAAGTAGTGGCGCAGCTTCCTCTTGGCGATGAGGATGGTGTACAGGAGCTTCTAGATTTGGGGGTAGTGGGTCCTAGAATTGGACAGGACCTCGCTAATGAAGTACATGGGGCACTATACATTGAGGGCGTGTCCCTCTTCTTCTCGCTCTACCACCAGGGTGGCGCTGACCACTTGCGTGGTGGCCATAATGTAGAGCAAAAGCAATTCTTCGTCGGTCAGAGGGACTAGGATCGGGGCCTTCGTTAGGAGCTGTTTGACTATGTTAAGCGCCTCTTGGGCCTCAGGCGTCCATTCAAAATGGTTGGCCTTCTTCAGAAGCCGATAGAGGAGGAGACCTCATTTGCAGAGGTATGAGATGAAGCGGTTGATTGTGGCGAGGCACCCTGTAACTCGTTGTACCCCCTTCATGTTCTGAATCAGGCCCATCCTTGTGATGGCTGATATCTTCTCTGGGTTGGCTTCGATGCCATGCTCGGAGACGATGAAACCAAGCAGCATACCCCTCGGGACCCCGAAAACACACTTCTCGGGGTTGAGACTAATGCCATTTGCTCAGAGTTTTGCGAAGGTCTGCTAAAGGTCGGCTACGACCTAGTCAGCCCATTTGGACTTGACCACGATGTCGTCTACGTAGGCCTCAACGGTTCACCCGATGAGGTCTCTGAAACACTTGAGCATACAATGCTGGTACATAGCCCCTACGTTCTTTAGACCGAACGGCATTGTGACGTAGCAGAACGATCCGAACAGGGTGATGAAAGATGTCGCGAGCTAGTCGGACTCTTTCATCGTGATTTGATGGTACCTAAAGTACGCATCAAGGAAGCAAAGGGTTTCGCACCCTGAGGTAGAGTTGACTACTTGGTCTATCTGTGGTAAAGGAAACGGATCCTTTGGACATACTTTGTTGAGACTCATGTAGTCAACACACATTCTCCATTTCCCGCTCTTCTTTCATACAAGGACGGGATTGGCTAACCACTCTAGGTGGTATACTTCCCTGATGAACCCTGCCGCCAATAGCTTCGCGATCTCCTCGCCGATGGCCCTGCATTTCCCCTCATTGAAGCGACACAGGCACTGCTTCACCAGCTTGGAGCCTATCCTAATCTTCAAGGTATGCTCGGTGACTTCTCTCGGAATGCCCGGCATGTTCGAGGGTTTCCACGCAAAGATGTCTTTGTTGGCGCGGAGGAAGTCGACTAGCGTGCTTTCCTATTCGGAGGAAAGCGTGGTGCCAATGCGCACCACTTCGCCCTTAGAGCCACTAGAGTCTATGAGGACCTCCTTGGCACCGTCCACTGGCTCAAAAGACCTAGCCGACCGCTTGGGGTTGGGTGCTTCTTCCGTGACCTCCTTTTCTATGGTTATAGGCTCCTTGGAGGCGACAATTGCCGCAGCGTGAACGTAGCACTCGACCTCGCATTCATAGGCGCGCTAGAAGGAGGTGCTAATGGTGATGACCCCACATGGTCCCAGCATCTTTAGCTTTAGATAGGTGTAGTTAGGGATGGCCATGAACTTCACGTAGCATGGACGTCCTAGGATGGCGTGGTAGGTTCCACGGAACCCGACCACCTTGAAGGTGAGGGTCTCCATCCTATAATTGGATGGATCCCCAAAGGTGATGGGTAGATCGATCTGCCCAAGTGGCACGGCCTACTTTCCAGGCACGATGCCGTGGAAAGGCGCTCCGGTCAGTCGGACGCGCGATCGGTCGATGCCCATGGCGTCAAGCGTTTTGGCACAGATGATGTTGAGGCCGCTGCCTCCATCCATCAGTACCTTGGTGAACCGCTTCGTGCCGATGATCGGGTCAACCACGAGCGGATATCTCCTTGGTTGCGGGACGGTCTCCGGGTGGTCGGTCTGATCAAAGGTTATGGTGGACTCCGACCACCGGAGGAAGACAGGCCGGCTCGGCCGTATAGACCTCACGGCACGTGAGCTTCTAGCGGCTCTTGGAGTCATAGGCCGCCGACCCTCCGAAGATCATGAGGCAGCCATCCGGCGTCGGAAAGCCACCATCCATCCCCTCAGCATCATTCGCGGTTGGCTTGGGGTCCTTCCCATCCTCCCCCTATTGTAGCCCCTAGACAAGAACTGCTTCATGAGGCCATACTCCTTGTATAGATGCTTGACGGGGAAGGAATGGTTCGGGCATGGCCCTTTGAGCAGCTTCTCGAAGTGGATCGGGGTACCGTCCATGGGCTTCCGGCCCCCCTTGCGGTCGGCGGCAGCCACGAGTGAGGCCTCGTGCCACTGCTTGTTCTTCTTCTTAACGGGACGGTTGGAGGTGCCTTCGCCAGCGTCCTCGTCCTGCTTCGCCTTGCCTTTGAGGCGGTCAAAGATCACTTCGACCGCCTCCTCACCCAAGGCATGGCTGGTGGCAATGTCGAGGAGCTCCTTGGTGGTTCGTAGTCCCTTACATCCCAGCTTGTGAACCAGGGTCTCGCAAGTGGTCGCAGACAGGAAAGCTCCTATAACGTCGACGTCGGCGACGTTTGGCAGCTCGTTGCACTACCGGGAGAAGCGCCGGATGTACCCACGGAGGGTTTCTCCGGCCTTCTGTTGATAGTTTTTGAGATCCCATGGGTTCCCAGGACACTTGTACGTGCCCTAGAAGTTCCCCACGAAGATCTCTCAGGTTCGCCCAACTTTGCTTTCTATTGGGCGGAAGGTGTTCCAACCATGTTCGTGCCAAATCGGCCAGGAACAATGGAAGGTTGCGGATAATGAAATCATCATTATCTGCTCCACTGGCTTGGCAAGCAAGCTGAGAATGCTCAAGCCATAGTCTGGGGTTTTGTTTCCCTAGAGTGTTTCAGGATGTTGGTTGGTGGTTGGTACCATGGCGGGAAGGCGGCGTTGAGGATATGTCGGCCAAAGGCCTGAGGTCCCGACAGGTCAAGGCTCGGGCTTTGGTCCTCGCCGCTGTTGTAGCGTCCTCCATGATGAGGGTGGTAGCCGCGGCTAGCTCCCTCCCTCGGGTGGCCGTGGGCACGCCTGCGGGCATCAAGGGTGTCACGCGCATCATGGTTGCGGCCGAGACGCTGATGTACCGAGACCGCGGTGCGTAGCCTGCCGCCATGTGGCATCTGGTGGCCTAACGCGTCCTTGTCGGGTCGCTCCAAGGGCGTGCACTAGCTGGCATCGAGCTCGTGTCGCCGAGACAGCGAGCTCTCGGCCTGCTGTGCCGCTGCACACTCGAGTAGCGTGCGAATCTCACGATGGGCCCAATGGTCTTCGGGTGCTGCGGCCCTCGAAAGCCCTCGGAGCAAGGCCGCCGCAGTAGCGATGTTGTGGCTCACCCAGGCAAAGCGTGGGAGTGCTTCATCATCATCGATGATCCTCCGGTTCACATCGTGGGCCATGGCGTGTGCACGGCCACCGTCTCCATGGCGCTCAATCTCTCGATCGAGCTCCATGTGTTCCTGCTCAAGCTAGAGTCACGCTTCCTCGACCTCTTGTTGTCGGGCCTTCAGCTGCTCCACCTGCAGGCAAGGCGGGGCCCCTACATCCCCCGACCTCATCATGGAGGTCATTCGTTGGGGTAGCTTCTTCCTCGTGGATGCTTTCGACGTGTCCCTCGGGGGTACCCACCATGAAACACTCACAAGAGGGGTGATGGTGATAGATTATGAGGTTGCTACACCAGCTGAAAAACAAATATTTCGACCCCATAAACCAGGAACTACTGCTAGTTATGGATCACGGGATTACCACTAGACGCGCAGGTGCAGCGGAAGCGACTCGGTGTAGTCGTGCACGTCGCAGCAGTGCCGTGCAGTTGCATGGTCATCCTTCCGCCCATCCCTCTCGTGCGGTTCGTCCTTGTGCTCCAGATGCAGCACCTCCGAGGTATCCACACGTACAGGGAGGAAGCATCGCGCCTCCGGACTGCTAGGTCTACGAGGAACGAAGGCGCGGGCGTCGGGAAGGGCGGCGGCTGCTAAATGGCGTGGATTGACCTAGCCCTGTCGCCCTCCCCTTGCTTATATAGGCATCCTAATGAGCTCCCAAGTTGGAGGCCCATTAGCAACCCTAAACCTTAGGCTTCCAGCCCCTTAAGCGTGTGACCCTATGGGTTCACGCACACATAGACATGGCCTAAATACTCCTATTCGGCCAATAGTTGGCAGCGGCCTCTAGCAAGGCGTGTCAACTCCTATGCACACGTAAAGATCATATCAGACGAACCACCACAAAACCACATACATGTTATTCCCTTTGTCACACGATATTTGGTCCAACTCGTGGGTTAACTATTAACCCAAGCACGGCCATGCATTTTCTTGATCCAAATCATTCGAGTGGTCCAGTGATATCTCTCTCTCATGAAGAGGGGCAAATTCCATCTTGATTGACTATGTCTCACAGCATGTTTCCCGACAAACTTGAAAACCACCTTTATAACTACCCAGTTATGGAGTAGCGTTTGATAGTCCCTAAGTAGGTCATTTCACATCTTGAGTACATACGATAATCTCAGGTCTAAGGACATAACGTACATGATGTGTAAAGAGACAATAAGAACATCTCACGTTGGGTCTGTCCAGCCCCATGTCATACATGTGCCCACACTATTAGTTTGACATCTCCATGTCTATGACTTGTGAAACATAGTCATCAACTAATAATGTGCTGATCTAATATTCATGTGTGTCCTCACAAGAACTCTGATCAGGGACAACTTTAGAATAACCATACAAGTAAAAGAGTTTCACAAACAATTCACATAATTGCTAATCGATACAAGTTGTCTTTAATGGATATTCAAATGAACTCATAATATATCATGGATACAAGGCAATACAATCATCTCTATGATTATCTCTAGGGCATACTCCCAACAATCTCCCACTTGCACTAGAGTTAATCTTGAAGATATTTAATACCCATAGCTCTCATGTGCGGCTCATGCTTAGGCTATGGAAGAGCCTTTGTCAAAAGATCTGCAACATTCAAATCCGTGTGTATCTTGCACATCTTGATGTCACCTCTACTAATGAACTCTCTAATGAGGTGAAATTTCTGAAGTACATGTTTGTTCTTTTGGTGATTCCTTGGCTCCTTGGCCTGTGCTATAGCCCCATTGCTATCACAATGCAGATTCAATGGGCTACATGCATTTGGAAACACACCAAGTTCAATGAGAAACCTCCTCATCCAAACACCTTCCTTCGTAGATTCAGAAGCTGCGATGTACTCGGCTTCTGCTGTAGAATCGGACATAGTCTCCTGCTTGGAACTTTTCCAGCTAACCGCACCACCATTTATTGTGAACACATATCCTGATTGAGACTGTGAATCATCCGTGTCAGTTTGGAAGCTAGCATCGGTGTAACCATTTACAACGAGCTCTTCCTCACCTCCATAGACTAGGAACACATCTTTAGTCCTTCTCAAGTACTTAAGAATGTTTTTAGCAAGTGTCCAGTGACTCTCACCTGGATTAGCTTGGTACCTGCTCGCAACACTTAGAGCATATGAGACATCTGGACGTGTACATATCATGACATACATGATGGAACCAATTGCTGAGGCGTATGGAACCTTACTCATACGATTGCGCTCATCAGCTGTCGAAGGACACTGTTTAATGCTAAAGCGCATGCCATGTTACATAGGCAAGAACCCTTTCTTAGACTGTTCCATGTTGAACCGTTTCAACACCTTGTCAATGTACGTATCTTGGCTTAATCCTATAATCCTCTTCGATCTATCTCTATAGATCTTAATGCCCAAAATGTATGCTGCTTCTCCTAAATCCTTCATAGAAAACTATTATTCAGTGAAGTCTTTACTGATTGCAACATTGGAATATCATTCCCAATCAATAGTATGTCATCTACATACAAGATTAGAAATACAACAGCACTCCCACTTTCTTTCTTGTAAACACAAGGTTCTTCTTCATTCTGATGAAAACCAAACCCTTTGACTACTTCATCAAAACGAATGTTCCAACTCCGAGATGCTTGCTTTAACCCATAAATAGATTTCTTAAGCTTGCATATTTTTCTAGCATTATTTGAATCAACAAAACCTTCGGGCTGTATCATATACACGTCCTCTTCTAAATTTCCATTTAGAAAGGTTGTTTTAACATCCATCTGCCATATCTCATAATCGAAATAAGCAGCTATTGCTAGAATGATCCGGATAGATTTAAGCATCGCTACTGGCGAGAAAGTCTCGTCGTAGTCAATTCCTTGAACTTGCCGAAAACCCTTTGCAACAAGTCGAGCTTTATAGACGTGAACATTTCCATCCATATCCTTTTTCTTTTTATAGATCCATTTGCACTCTATGGGTCTAACCCCATCAGGCGGGTCAACCAAGTTCCAAACTTGATTGTCTCCCATGGAATCTATCTCGGATCTCATGGCACTTTGCCATTTCTCGGAATCTGGGTCCATCATTGCTTCCGTATATGTCGCAAGTTCATCATCGTCCAACAATAACAATTCCCCATGTGCCTCATGGATTCTTGCTGAACTTCGTGGTTGTGGCGGTGCCTCTACTGCCATGGGTATCTCAACTTGTTTTGCTACATTAGCATCACTCGTAGAGTCCTTCCCTGTTTGCTCATCTTGAACTTCTTCAAGATACACCTTCTGTCCACTTTTCTCTCTTTTGAGAAACTCTTTCTCTAAGAAAATACCGTTCCGAGCAACAAACACTTTGCCCTCTGATTGGTTGTAAAAGTAATATCCTAAAGTTTCCTTTGGATATCCCACGAAAAAGCATTTGTCCGATTTGGGTGTTAGTTTATCTGACTGAAGTCGTTTGACATAAACTTCACAAGCCCAAATTTTTAGAAAAGACAAACTGGGACTCTTACCAGTCCACATCTCATATGGTGTCTTAACTACGGACTTAGACGGTACCCTATTTAATGTGAAAGCGGCTGTTTCTGGAGCGTATCCCCAAAACGATAAAGGTAGGTCTGACTAGCTCATCATTGATCGAACCATGTCCAACAAAGTCTGATTACGTCGCTCGGACACACCGTTTCTCTGAAGCGTTCCAGGTGGCGTAAGCTGTGGAACAATTCCGCAACTCTTTAGATGGTTGCTAAACTCGTGGCTCAAATATTCTCCTCCACAATCAGATCGCAAGGCCTTAATTTTCTTGCCACGTTGATTCTCTACTTCATTCTGAAATTCTTTGAACTTTTCAAATGTCTCAGATTTATGTTTCATTAAGTAGACATAGCCATATCTACTAAAATCATCAGTGAAGGTTATGAAGTATTGGAATCCGCCTCTAGCTATCGTGCTCATTGGTCCACATACATCAGTATGTACGAGTTCCAACAAGTCTATCGCCCTCTTAGGAAAACCTGTGAAAGGCGCCTTGGTCATCTTCCCTAGCAAACAAGCCTCACATGTCTCGTATGATTCAAAATCAAACGAAGTTAAAAGCCCATCAGCATGGAGCCTCTTCATGCGATTCTCACTTATATGACCTAAACGACAATGCCACATATAGGTAGGACTTAACTCATTAAGCTGAGGCCTTTTAGCACTTATATTACAGACAGGTGCATCATCAAGATTTAAAATAAATAACCCATTCACAATGGATGCAAAAGCCACAAGCATGTCATTCTTAGAGATAACACAACCATTGTCTTTACTCACAAATGAATAACCATCCTTCATCAAACATGAAGGTGACACAATGTTTTGACTTAAACTAGGAATAAAATAACAATTATTCAATTCCAAAATAAATCCTGACGGGAGGTGGAGTTGCATCGTCCCGACGTTCAACGCAGCAACTCTTGCATTATTGCCCACGTGGAAATCAACTTCTCCCTTTTCCAAGCTTCTACTTCTTATCATTCCCTGCATCGTATTGCAAATATGAGCAACCGATCCGGTATCAAATACCCAAGAATTTACATAAGAGTTAGCGAGGAAAATGTCCGTAACATAAACAACAAGTGTACAAATTGCGGGAGTACCTTTATCGCCGCTATCCTTCATGGATTCTAAGTACAGCTTGTAGTTCCTCTTCCAGTGACCTTTCCCCTTACAATGATAGCATTCAGTGTCAGCAGTTGGTCCAGCCTTGGGCGCAGGTGGGTTTGGCTTAGAGTTCTCACCTTTAGCCTCACCTTTAGCCTTGCCCTTCTTCTTCTTCCAAGAATTGCCCCTCTTTTTAAATCGGGGCTTATTTTGGACCGCCATCACATGGCTACTGCCAGCACCTTTCTTGATATCAGCCTCTGCAGTTTTAAGCATGCCACACAATTCATTCAAGCCCTTTTCCGCCCCATGCATATGGTAGTTCAAGATGAAGTTCCCATAGCTAGGTGGAAGAGACGTGAGAATGAAATCAATAGCCAACTCTGGGCCAATTGGGAAGCCCAGCTTCTCCAACCTTTGAGTGTAACCAACCATCTTGATCACATGTGGCCCTACTGTTGCGCCCTCTGCTAGCTTGGTTTCAGCAAAAGCCTTTGAGACATTGAACCTTTCAGTCCTGGCTTGAGTCTGGAACATATCATTGAGCGCCACGATCATATCGTACGCTGCATGGTTGTTGTCAAACTGCATCTGCAGATCTGGTTCCATACAAGCAAGCATAAGGCAACTCACTTCAAGATCAGCATCACATGCCTTCTTGTAAGCGTTTTTCTCAGCAGCGGGTGCATTATCAGTAGGCTCTACAGGTAATGGGGTGTCTAGAATATCTTCCTTTTTCTCAGCCCTGAGAACAATTCTCAGGTTGCGGATCCAATCCGCATAGTTTGTTCCATTCAACTTATCTTTCTCAAGAATTGAACGCAAAGTAAACGGTTGATTGGTAGGCGCCATTTATCTATAACAAAAGTAATGCAAAAATACTAAGACAATGTATCCATGACAGTAAATAATATTAAGCCTTTAATAGAATCTACTCCCACTAAAATCAATATCCCTCTATTGAAACTTAGTGATTCAAGACCCACAACTAACAAGTCTACTAGTGAGCTTTAGCATCACCGCTAGAAGACATGGTAGATCGGTAAGCAACTCTTTGCTAATCATATCACATATGACTCTTGTTGTTGGGTAGCATCTCTATGCTATAGCGCCCAACTCCTTATGCTCCAAGGTCCCTAACCGTTAGGATGACCTTGTTCAAGTAACCAACCTTTCTACTGTAAGTATCCGATACGAACCTGTCTAGTCAAGGAAAATCAGTGGCACCCTAATTTTATAGACCCACCACCAATTGTACAAGACCAAAGACAGTGCAAGGTTTGGGGGAGCAATTCAACTTAAACATTGCTGAGGGATCGTTCTGCTTCACTATCGCATGTAGACAAAAACATTATCGCACGTGAAAGTAGAACATAGTAAGAACGGCATTAACACAGATATGACTTGGTATAGCCCACTGTTCCTTTGGGGATCTCCATCTCCATTAATCTCCATGATCCATGTATGCCATCCTTCAGTGATGAGTCCGCCAAGACTAGCTATCACTAACGCAAGGCAGTGAACTAAAATTACATAGTCGCGGATAGGATCATCACAGTTTGGCACGCAGGCCATTACAATAATGTTGACAATATCTATGAGGCTCCAGCCCATATTGTCATCCTCATGACGTGCAAGCCATGAATTAATTACATACATGCATCACATACACATAAGGGCTATACCAGTCATGAAATCCTGCAAAATAGAGTTAACCGATTCTGACGTCTAATCTTAAAATGCCAAAAACACCATCTTCCCGGCCTTTTTTCGCAAAAATAAATTCAGCGAACCCGACAAAGTGGGGAGAATCGGATGTAAATTTTTTTCTCTACAATTTTCGTTTAAGAATTGTCTCAATCCGAGGTCGTATGCAAAAGTTACGGCCATTTTACCGAACAACGCTTTTTCTTGCACCTCGGCGCCCGGTAATAGATCCAATCTACCACCACCGCGCATCACATGCGCTCGACTCTTGACCTAGGTTTGATTCGATCAATCTAATTGATCTCCAACTCACCATGACTGGGTTTACATGTATCACTTAACTCGGATGGCGGAATTCCGACCGGTACGAGTAGATCGTTACAAGACCAACATAGCGAGATCACGAACCATGATCAGAAAGACATCTACAACCGCGCATATCTCCATATGCATACATCCGAATCCATAACGACGCAGGTACGGCTCTGATACCACTGATAGGTTATGAGGTTGCTACACTAGCCGAAAAACAAAAATTTCGACCCCATAAACCAGGAACTACCGCTAGTTATGGATCACGGGATTACCACTAGACTCGCGGTGCAGCGGAAGCGACTCGGTGTAGTCGTGCATGTCGCAGCAGTGCCGTGCACTTGCGTGGTCGTCCTTCCGCCCATCCCTCTCGTGCGGTTCGTCCTTGTGCTCCAGATGCAGCACCTCCAAGGTATCCACACGTATAGGGAGGAAGCGTCAAGCCTTTGGACTGCTAGGTCCGCGAGGAACGAAGGCACGGGCGTGGGGAAGGGTGGCGGCTGCCAAATGGCGTGGATTGACCTAGCCCTGCCGCCCTCCCCTTGCTTATATAGGCGTCCTAATGAGCTCTCGAGTTGGAGGCCCATTAGCAACCCTAAACCTTAGGCTTCCAGCCCCTTAAGCGTGCGACCCTATGGGTTCACGCACACATAGACATGGCCCGAATACTCCTATTCGGCCAATAGTTGGCAGCGGCCTCTAGCAAGGCGTGTCAACTCCTATGCACACGTAAAGATCATATCAGACGAATGACCACAAAACCACATACATGTTATTCCCTTTGTCACACGATATTTGGTCCAACTCGTGGGTTAACTATTAACCCAAGCACGGCCATGCATTTTCTTGATCCAAATCATTCGAGTGGTCCAGTGATATCTCTCTCTCATGAAGAGGGGCAAATTCCATCTTGATTGACTATGTCTCACAGCATGTTTCTCGACAAACTTGAAAACCACCTTTATAACTACCCAATTACGGAGTAGCGTTTGATAGTCCCTAAGTAGGTCATTTCACATCTTGAGTACATACGATAATCTCAGGTCTAAGGACATAACGTACATGATGTGTAAAGAGACAATAAGAACATCTCACGTTGGGTCTGTCCAGCCCCATGTCATACATGTGCCCACACTATTAGTTTGACATCTCCATGTCTATGACTTGTGAAACATAGTCATCAACTAATAATGTGCTGATCTAATATTCATGTGTGTCCTCACAAGAACTCTGATCATGGACAACTTTAGAATAACCATACAAGTAAAAGAGTTTCACAAACAATTCACATAATTGCCAATCGATACAAGTTGTCTTTAATGGATATTCAAATGAACTAATAATATATCATGGATACAAGGCAATACAATCATCTCTATGATTATCTCTAGGGCATACTCCCAACAGATGGCTCCCCCTGCTGGAGTCAGAGCTGGAGAGCGACTCTGATTCTCCTACGAGGTGGTCGTGGAAAGACTCCGCGACATATTCGGTCATCCCCACGTACTCATCGTTCACGGGGGATGGAGGCGTGCGTTGCGCCACAGGGTGGCCATCGATCTATGTGGCGTTGCGGAGACTAAATGGGAGCGCTATCGGGGCGCTCCAGATGAGGTATTCCGAAGAGAGCGGCTCCCCTCTGACAAGCTGTGCCATGACGTTGGTGAACGAGAAGGTGAGGTGGTGTAGGTCCTCTCAGGACGGTCGGGGTCCTAGGAAGGCGTCGAGCTGGCGCTCTAACCTCCCATAGTCGAAGTCGAGGAGCTGGTCGCTTTCGGGGGCGTGGGCCTCCGATGCGTGTAGCTGCAGCTCCTCAAGCACCTCGGCGATTGCGTCGAGGCAGGCGGAGTGGAGAGGTCGGACGGTGGCGGGATCCATCGCCAACTCTCCCTCCGTTGTGACGATGAAGTCCAGGTCCTCAAAGCGCACGTGCGTGTCCGAGACCCAGCTGAGGTTGTGACTAGCCATCCGAGGCCTGGTGTGGATGTTGAGATGCGCAAAAGTCCCCTACCTAGCATGCCAACTGTCAGTGTTTCGAGTTGCCACCGATAAGTAAATTTCTAATATTGCGCGTCTGGCTCGGATGGTGTGATAAGAGGACACGAGGTTTATACTGGTTCGGGCAGAATGTCCCTACGTCCAGTTCGTTGCTGCTGCTTGTGTTACTAGCACTGAAAGTTCGTAGTAGGGGTTCCAAATGGTCGAGAGGGGGACATGTCATAAGTCTCTGGTGAGAGGAGCGAACAGGTGCTGAGAGCTCGGTTGTGTGCTTGTGTGTTCTGATTGGTTCGGGGTTCGATGAGTTTGAATTCAAATCGATATGATGTGTTACAATGCCCCTTATGGGACGCCCTGCTTTCCCTTTTATAGGCCAAGGGAAAGCATGGGTTATAGTGGAGGGAAAAGAGGAGAATGAGAAGGAGAAGTCCACCAGGATCGCCGGGTCCTTCTTTTCCTTCATGCGGGTCCCGCCGACCCTGTAGACGTCAACAGGGACAGCTCCACGCCGCGGCCCTGTCCATCACTGGCGCCATGCGTAGGCGTCGTCTCCTGGTCGTTGCGCTCCACTCCATCCTAGCGGACGTCGTGGTGAACTAACGCGCCTGTCAGTCCTCATCGAGGGTTAGGCAGAACAGCACCGGTACACCCGATGCTGTTCCTGATGTGAATCCCTAGGTATGGCCTGTCATGGCCATGGGTTACACCGGGGCGTGCCGGTCACCTCCCTAGTGTCAGAACTTTCACCCAGGCCCATTCGCTTGGACCTGGAGTGGTTCACAGTGGTATGGGTCTTCGTCGGGCGAGACGGATCCCCTGGCCTCGGGTCGGTCGAGGAGTCCCCCCTCAGAGGCCGGGCGAGGCAGAGCGCAAACCCAAGGGTCGGGAGAGGAGGAGCCCACCCCTAGGGGTCGGGCGAGGCGGAGCCTGCCCTCGAAGGCCGGGCGAGGCGGAGCCAACCCTCAGAGGTCAAGCAAGGCCAAGCCTGCCCTTAGACGTCGGGCGAGGCAGAGCCCACGGCCTCGGTGTCGGGCGAGGCAGAGCCCGCCCTCAGAGGTCTGGCGAGTGTCGGGCGAGGTGGAGCCCGCCCTCAGAGGCTGGGCGAGGCGGAGTCAGCCCTCAGAGGTCAGGCAAGGAGGAGCCCGCGGCCTCGGTGTCGGGCGAGGCGGAACCTGCCCTCAGAGGTCAGGTGAGGTGGAGTGCAAACCCAAGGGTCGGGCGAGGCGGAGCCCGCCCCTAGAGGTCGGGCAAGGCGGAGCCCGCCCTCAGAGGCCGGGCGAGGCGGAGCCAGCCCTCGGAGGTCGGGCGAGGCGGAGCCCACGGCCTCGGTGTCGGGCGAGGCGGAGCCCACCCTCAGAGGTCGGGCGAGGCGTAGCCCGCCCTCAGAGGCTGGGCGAGGCGGAGCTAGCCCTCAGAGGTCGAGCGAGGCGGAGCCCGCGGCCTTGGTGTCGGGCGAGGCAGAGCCCACCCCCAGAGGTCGGGTGAGGTGGAGCCTGCGGCCTCGGTGTCGGGGCGAGACAAAGCCCGCCCCCAGAGGTCGGACGAGGCGGAGCCAGTCCTCAAAGGTCGGGCGAGGCAGAGCCCGCCGCCAGAGGCCGGGCGAGGCGGAGCTTGCGCACCTAGGGGTCGGTTGGAGCTGCAATCGCGCTCTTGACTGCTCGGACGAATCAATATTGATGGTTATTAGCTCCTCCTCTTCGGGTACCCTAGTATTGGTCTCCGACACCTGCTTTCACCACTTCTCCATACACCACATGTCGTTTAATGCGGCTACTTCAATCATGTTGCAAAATGGTGAGAAAGCCCTATTTTGGTATTCTGGCTGGCTTGATGGG